GTTACTGTTACTATTTGTTGTTGCTATTTTTAGTGTGATGGTGGTATGTCTAGTACCTTTCCTGGACTAATTCTGTTGTCTGTATTTTTTGTCCTGTGCAGTCACGAAATCTCTGCTTGGTTACTTTAGTCTTGAGCATATGATTAGACAGGGATTTCTTCAAGTAGTTGAAGCAATTCATCTCTCATCTTTACCTGACTTTCTGAAAGCTCCAGAGGATATTTTGGCACTTTTCGAAGCCTCTATAGACATCACACTGCCCTTATTTTTCTTTGTTTTTTTTTTTTTGGTTTTTTTTTTTTTGAGACGGAGTTTCACTCTTGTTACCCAGGCTGGAGTGCAATGGCGCGATCTCGGCTCACTGCAACCTCCGCCTCCTGGGTTCAGGCAATTCTCCTGCCTCAGCCTCCTGAGTAGCTGGGATTACAGGCACGTGCCACCACGCCCAGCTGATTTTTGTATTTTTAGTAGAGACAGGGTTTCACCATGTTGACCAGGATGGTCTCGATCTCTTGACCTCGTGATCCACCCGCCTCGGCCTCCCAAAGTGCTGGGATTACAGGCGTGAGCCACCGCGCCCGGCTGCCCTTATTTTTCTTTTAAGTTCTCTGGCCAGTCTCGTTTGTCCCAGCTAGTATATCTCTGTCAGGGAACTGTTCTGTTTAAACAATTGCCACCAATTTTTCTGACAAATAACCTGAGGATAGGGCTTTCCTCATTGAGTGACCTGAATCAGGTTAAATGAAGACAAGCCCTGTGATTGGGACTATTCCAGGGAGCTACCAGACAGGTCAAAGAGTGACAGATCTCTGGGGATGGGGCTTCTTGGAAAACTCCAAACCTATCTTGGGGGCACTCTGAATTCTTCCAGTGGTTTCTCGGCTACTGGTTTTCAAGGTTGCTGATTTTCAAGGCTACTGTGGAGTTGGGAGAAGATGGGGACGGGGCAAGTTAAAACACCACAAAGCTTACTGTTCATACAGATTCAGACTTTTGTTCAAATATATTTTCTTTGAGTTGTTGTAATCCTTTTGTTAATTTCCAGAGTTTCAAAAAGTTTGTTTTGACCATTTCTGCCAGTGTCCTCGTTGATTTTATGCAGAATCAGATATTCAAAGATCCATACTCCACCGTTGTGGAAATGCTTCTCTAGGATTTTTCTTTTAATGGGATACATAGGATTTCTCTTAAATTAATATAAGCAGCATCTACTACATTCACTTAGAACACTAGAAATTACCACCTATGATAGACTGCCTAAATGAGAAAATTGCTTCACTTCTCAAATTTCATAGAATGTCCATCCTGGTTTCCAAAGTATATGGCATCTACCTTTAGTAAGCAGCACAGAATATTAGAACATCAGAGCTCAAGTCCATATCTACCCACTCTCCAGCTCCACCTAAGAGGGCCTAAGGAACAAACTGTTCATCAATGACTGTAGACTAATGGCTTTCACCCCTTCAGGCCCACAGCCACTTTTTATCAGAAATATTTTTAAACATGTTTTATTATTCTACTACACAACATAACTTACCTCAGGCATAAATCATCTATCATGATTAAAGGTATCTTTAATACCTTTACTAACTGTAATGTAACAGAGAAATAAAATGAAGCAACCTATGATAATACGTAATTCCATCTGCAAATGAATCGCCAAAACTCCTGAAGACACAATGATTAGATACTTGCAAATGTACATGTAATTACCATTAATGTGGCCACCACAAATGCAGACCACTGCAGTTTTGACTTGGAACTCAAATGCCAGGAGCAATGTTGTCCCTAGTGACAACTTCCAAAATGATGGAAAACTCTTGCTGAAGTACTGAACAAAGACTACAACCTTCCCTCACTTCATTGGTAGTTGCATTTTTGGGTAAGTCAAGTATTGCAGATCTGCAACAACAAAAATATAAAATGGAGTTATAATCTAGGCTCAAAAAATTGTCAATGTCCGCCAGTCCAAGATCGTGAGGAACAGCTCTGCGGTGGTTGAATCGAGTTGGGTTTATCAGGACACTTTTGCACAACAGAGACCACATATCATGAAGAACCATGGGGTGCCTCAGTATGAGGGTGCTAGGAGGGGCTTTTTATAGGATTTGGGGTTGTGTTGGGTGGTTTGAAGAAGGGCTCCATGAATCATAGTTTTACTCTGGATTGAGTGCTTTCAGAAAGCAAGGGCAATTCTAAGTGAGTGTAAATAAAATTTTTCATCTAGAAGGAAAGAAGGAGCAGAGTGATCTAATGGGTAATGGAGCAACTATCACTCATGTAAGCCAAGAGACAGAATGTTTGGTCACTCTTTATGATTTATACAGGATCTTGCTTCTGTGTTCGAACAGGACTATGGAGTGTCCTAATTTTTGTCTTCCTCCACTACACTCAGTGGCCTTGTCAGATGTTGGTCTTCTATAAAATTGTTTATATTCAACAGAGTATAATAGCCTAGCCATTAGGGCCAGGTCAGCTTTCAGCTGCCAGATGTAGGGTTGCTTTTCCTTTCTCATCATAAACAGGATTTCCATGTACGTAATTGTTCAGCGACATACGAAGAAGTCATGAGTACAGGACAATTCTTTGTTGTCTGTAACTGTCCTATGCAATTCAGGCACCTAGCATCTCTATTCACTTTCACTCACGTTTCATTGGCCATTGTTAACCACATGGCCTCAAACTAATTAAGGAAACTGGGAAATGTAGAACAAATGGGACATTTAGTGAATATTACTATCCTTACTACATGCAACCTTCAACAAATTACTTCTGCCAGTATTAGTTACCTACCTGTAACATGAGGTTACATGGTACATAATGGTCATTCTTCCCTCTTGGGAAGAATCACGTAATACATAAAATAACTTTAATAAGCTCTAACAGTTATACAGATTTAGAAGGCCCACAGTACCTAAATGTTGGAATTAATGTGCCGTCACCTCTACACATACACACATCCTCACCTATCTATTTAGAGGTGTCAGTCAAAGAATAGGGATACTCTGGCAGCTGTAGAATTAGAATGTGATGCTACTTTCATTTTAATAGCACCAATCAGTCAATTCACCTGTATCTAAGGCTGACCCAGGGACAATAAAAAGGAAAACCACTGATCCTCAGTCTCTCCCAGGTAATTTCTCCAGTCTTAATGAAATGATTAGCATTACAGATTTTATTTTCCAAAGAATATGTCCCATCCCACATACTCTTATTATTAGGTAATCTTAACACTCCTCTCATCAAATAGTGGGCTCTATGTACCCTTCTATTGAACCCAAATGGACCTTGGTTACTGCTTCATCCAATAAAGTATGACAGAAGACACATCATGTGAATTCCAAGACTAGTCATTAAAATTAAAATGCCATGCACTTTTCTTGCTCTCGGAAGGGCTCACTGTTAGAACCCAGTGCCAGGTTGTGAAGAAGCCAAATGTGCCCACAGGGAGAAACTACACAGTGTACGTGTTCCAACCCACAGCCTAGCTGAGGCCACAGCTGATGGCCGATGTCAACCTCCAGGCCAGTGGCTGAAAAGCTCCCTGCCACTGCCTGGCTCCTTCCCTAGCCATCACTGTGCTCCATCCAAATTCCTGTCCCACAGAATTTGTAAGCATAATAAAATGACTTGTTTTTCACCAGTAATTCTGGGGGTACATTTTTATGTAGCAACAGCATCTGCAACAGTACAACTCGTTGGCACCTATAACATTTCAATTACTACATGAAGGTCAAATATGTATTTACTAAATTATTATATCTCTAATACTGTACTAATAACTAGAGTTGTTAGTACAATTTAGAAAGTTAGTACAAATTGAAATAATCATAGATAATGCTCAAAGTGCACTATATTGACAAGAATCCAGTTAGGCTATGAGCAACAGAGAAGACAGAACAGTAACACTTAAAGAAGATAGTTTCCTTCACTTAAAAGTTTAGAAAGGTGGCCAGTCACGGTGGCTCACACCTATAATCCCAGTGCCTTAGGAGGCCGAGACGGACGGATTATGTAAGGTCAGGAGTTCGAGACTAGCCCGGCCAATGTGGTGAAACCCTGTCTCTACTAAAAATACAAAAATTAGCCGGGCACAGTGGTAATCCTAGCTACTAGGGAGGCTAAGGCAAGAGAATTGTTTGAACCCAGGAGGCAGAGGTTGCAGTGAGCTGAGATCACACCACTGCACTCCAGCCTGGGTGACAAGAGCAAAACTCCATCTCAAAACAAAAAATTCAGTCAGGCAGTTCGGGGCTGCTATACTCCAAGATGGGAGGCAGACACTATCTACCTCATTCCTCTGCCATTCACAAACAAGGCCTTTACCACATGAGTCCAAGACGGCTGCTCTAGTTCCAGCTATTCTAACTTTCAGGAAAAAAGGGGAAGGGATGGGCATGCCTCCTTTTAAGGATACTTCCTGGAAGTGTCCCCATTGGCCTAAACTTTGTCATGTAGCCACACCAAGATATAACAATAAAATCTAGGAAAAGTTATCTCTATTCCAGGATGTCATGCCCTAGCTAATTAAGTGGAAAATCTGTAGGAGAAAAACGATTATTAGGGAATACATGATAGCTCCTGCCATGTGCATATTCTAAAATTCAATTGTTTCATGGTTTAGAATTGCAGTTCAAATAACACATTTACCTAAAGAACTATGACAATGTATCCTCTGTTAGACTCTAACACTAAAGATTTAGATCTTTCAGATTAAATTTTAAAATGTCTTTAGTGAAGTATCAACTTTTCTCACCAGACAGAACAGCTGAGTATAAGTAAAATAAACAAGGCTTTAATAAATTAATAATTCTTAAGAAAGGAAACAGCATTTAGAGCAAATATTTTCTCTAAATGCTAATATATCGTGTTTCATAGCCTACAGATACTCCTATAGTCTGTTTTCCTTGGGAAAGTCATTCAATAACCTGAAGTTCAGCTTCATCATCTAAAGTATTATGTATTTGTCATGAGGGTTAAATGAGGTTACACATGTCAAATGCCTTGTAAACAGTAGAATTTTATACAAATATAAAGTTTTGCCCCTTCAAAGCTATCATTCCAATAAGACACTTATTCAATAAACAAATAATCTTAAAAATATCTTTAAAATGTACAAATATATTCACAACATAATCTGCTGATTAAGAAGACTTCAACAAAGTTTATAGTACCTACAACAGAATTGAGATGCCTACAATCGTTTGTAGATTGGTTTAGTTTACAGTTACATCTATTGCTTTAAGAAATACCATTAATACAAATGCATAATTTACAATATCCCCATTATAGCAAGAAAAAAAATAGATTCAGAAAATAAAATGTCTTTTTAGGCATTTATTATGCCAAGTATGTAAATGATTATTCCCATTATCACATGAGAATAATGCTCTTTAGGTAAAAGATACATTTATTAGCTCAAGGTCCACTGAAGAGTTTTCTATCTAGCTATCCTTTCTGCAAAATAAATAGAACAGCAGCAATCTCTGGGTATTCCTTAAACAAGCTATGATGATTCCATTTAAATGACTTCTTACAAATAAAAACAAAATTTTAGAAAGTAGTTGATATCATTGGCCTTAATTGTTTTCACTTGCTTGCATATGTCTAAGAAATTTCCCCATGAAATACGTATTAAAAACTAACAATTATTTCTAAATTATACATAAGCCAAAGTGCTCACTCTTAACCATGGAAGCAAAACTTACTTCTGAAAACAATCTAAAGAAATAATATAAACACACAGAGCTTTCAGACAGACTAAAAACATCCTTCTGTGTTCTGTGGATCAAAATACAAGGGTCTCTATTACCTATGTAAATGAACACTTTCACTAACTTGGGATATATTGATATTACATGGCCGTGTGCATACCTATAGAACATGTGCATACAAACCTACACCACAGAACAAATCTTGACAACGTTTCTAGAGCCAACATATACTTTCTAGCCCCAACTGCTAGAAAGGAAATAAAAGCTTAATAAGAAAACTACTTTTTCTTTTTATAAATAAAGTTTTTAAGTGGAAAAACAAAGCCAACACTCCTTGTTGCAACATGGACTAAGCTCCAAAATGTTCAGAGTCAAGAATCTCTTCGGTTGCTCCCCAATGTAACAAAGCACATAATCTTTCTCTCTTCAGGAAGTCTGATCATCTCCAGTGTTCTGCAAGAGACAAAAAAAAACTCCTTAATATCAAAGTTATTTCCCTTCACACACCATGGACTTCAAGGCCTACGCCTAGGAAAACATTCTATATTTCTAAGCAGAGCATTGCCTTACATACACCCAATCACATTAAAAAAGTAGACATGCTACAGAAGTAAATCCACAGATACCATCATCCACCCAGCTGTCCAATTAGCCCCATTTGCACAGATGCCAGGTACCATGTAAGATACTAACCCTATTCATGTTATGTCAGGCTTAAGGTTTAATTTCACCTGTATTCCATGTCCCGCCGCACCTTCAGAAACACTGAAAATTCTAAGGGAAAAAACCTAATAAGCACACACATGCAAGTCACCCTAAGGTGGACCACAGTAAAGATATATTGGGGCCATGCAAAGATCCTTCAGAATGAGATGACATGTCCCTACACGAATACTCATTTTCTTTACTTTTCATCTTCTGTAAGAGAAACTGTATGGTAAAATAAAAAGAATACATTTTGAGTACAGAGGGCTGGGTTCAAGATCTAGCTGTGTACCACTTTTTGGCTGTATAATCTTAAGTAAATCATTTAATTTCTCAGGACTTTAGTTATTTAAAATGTAAACCCTGGACCAGCGCCCTCAGTACCACCTGGAAACTTGGGAGAAATGCAAATTATGAGACCCCCACCCCCAGATCCACTGAATAAGCGGCCTGGGAGTAGAACCCAGCAATCCTGTGTCCTCTAGGTGATTCTCATGTATGTTCGAGTTTGAGAATCCCTGTACTACATAACATATAACATCACTTCCCCAACCTACTGTACTAACCAAATGCAAGGTATTACTCATATAAAGATCTACTCATTTTTCCCAGGAGATTTAACCAATAATTATTTGTCTATGATTACTACTTATCCTCCTGAAAACCCTGACATGGGGGTATTGTAGTAAAACCTTTTATGTACTGGGGGAAAGAAAAATCAACTGTTCTCCCTAAAACCATACAACATACATTATTCAAGGACATTCATTTAAAGCTCCCATGGTTAATGAAAAACAAATGAACCTAAAGTAATTTTTAAAACACAAGTTACTATCAATGATAGTTTATCTTTCCTGGCTTTAAAATAATTTTAGGATACTGACAATATACTTCCAGAATGTCTTCAACATCTCCAAAGAGCAATTCAAACATATTTATCTTATATTTAAGTAACTATATGCCTTTAAAAAAACTTCTGTTAAGGAGCATTTCATAAAAATTAAACTATAAAAGTTAAAAATCATTGCATTAGTCACTGATAACATCCAGAAAACACTTACTTGTCTTAAAAACTGCTTTCCAAGATATGAAGTAGCCATGCTGGTTAAATTCTTTCTGCTGCCCACCTTACACCTGATGTAACCATACAGGTTGGCACCCTGTAGCACCACACCCATGATAACCACTGCCTGGGACAAGGGAAAAAATAATCAATAATTACTGGCCTGAAATTGACCTTTCTCTGTGCCATAAATGAGACAAGGCAGATTGTCATGAGAAAGAGAGGAAACAGGAAGCTCTGCAAAGTCACGATTGTGCCAGTGAGACTCTTCCAGAGACAAACCAGAACAAACCCATCTGATAGACACTCTGTACAAGGCACAAGTTGTTCACCCAGCTAGTATTTACTCAACACAACTGCTCTATGTGCCAGGCACCATGCTAGCCACTGGGGATGCAGTGAAGGGGGAGCGTTCTTTACTCTGTTTCCCATTGGTCTGTGAGTAAAGTTAGGAAAAGTAAATGAGACTCAGGAAAGGCTCAAATGTTCATTATTCCTTTAAGAATTACAAAAGAACAGTAAAGAGGCAGATCAAGTTCAATAAACTGACAGCAGGTAGAGATGACTCTCTGCTCTATGTGACAACTGGCTTCTGGTAAAGTGGACACAATGCCCTAAGACAGCAATCAACAGATGCCTGCCTTAGGTGAGGAGGGAGGGAGACAGCTCCGAGGGGAACTGTACTTTTGCAGAGCTGTTTGTTCCTTTGAGTTTCTTTTTCTCACCTATGGTGATCTCACTAGGATCAATAAGTGAGAAAAAGAAACTCAAAAACCCACTCTTTAAAAATTTCTAATTAATCTTAATTAGAAAAACTAATTAAGAAAATGTGAGGAATTCCCAAGGTTAAAAATTCTAATACTGTGATCAGCCAAGTTCTTCTGTAAAGGGCCAAATCATAAACATTTTAGATCATATGTTCTGTGTTGCAATTACTCAACTCTGCTGTTCTAATCCAAAGGCAGCCATAGACAATATATAAAAAAAAAATGGGCAAAGCTGTTTTTCAATTAAAATTTACAAACAGAGGTGTCAGGCTGGATTTGGCCTGCAGGCCAGTTTGCCAACCCTTGTTCTGGAATAAACAGCTCATCGGACCTTCTACTCTTTTATATTTGTGATAATCAAAACAACTAAACAAAATGTCTTTTTCCAATCTAGATTTATTGTCCTTACTCTTAGCAAGATAGATAGTTGATTTAATTGTTTAATTAATGGATTTAAATGTTCAATTAATGAACAGGTTCACATTCCTAGTAAAAGAAGAGGAGGCGGTACTTTCTGTTCTAAACTTATATTCCAGGGAATTAAATGTGTTGGTGTAATAAGAGGTTGCTAGTTACCTAAGTAAACATAAAACTGTGTCTTTATTTGAATAAATTTCCTTTTAATTTCCCATGCTTCTCAAACAGGGGCACTACTGGGTATGTATATATCAACATGCCAGGGTGCACCTGAATTCACAGACCAAGGGTCCTGCTAAGGCATCAATTTACTCAATGGCAACAAATTTTAACATCTGTAAGTTAAACATCTGGTTTAAGATGGTGCAGTGAAGTCAGACATGAAGATCTCCCTCCCTTACGGTATAAACAGCAAACAGTGTTTTTAAAAATGCAAACAAACTAATACCAACAAACATAAAAAAGGGCTAGTGGCCAAAGAAAGAGCCAGCTTGGAACAATCCTAAACAGTTCCAAACTCTCCAAAGAAGCTCTAAGGAAAATTTCACTAATAATTACCATCCCCAGCAACTTACAGAGAAGCAAAAAAATGCAGAGAAAAAAAATGCAGAAATAGTCATGACAGCAGAAACTTCTCCCAACTAACAATGACCCAAAAAGGCAGGAATATCCCTGCAGCTGGCCACAGTGGTACCACCAGGTGGGAAAAAGGCAGGAGAGGAGGCATTAGAAGGACCAACAATCATGAGAGCTGATCATCTTAAGAGAAGTGAGGAGGTGGGAGACTCATGGAGAGCCTGAGTTAAAGCCCCTTCGTGTCCTGTGGTCTTAACCCATTTATGCTGTAGGCTGCAATTTTTTTAGTAAAAAATCAAACCTTGGTGACCTTGAGCAGGATATAAATAACTCCCACATGCCTAGCGTTCCAATAATGGAACCCTAGGCATAAGTAGGTTAACACAGGATCAAACTGGCTTTCACATAACCTCTCCCTGTTTTGTTTTAAGGAAGTAGAAACACTACTAGAAAAAGACTGGGCTGACTCTCCTGGATGGATGCTAAAGCTCCAAGGTCTCACAAACAATTCAAAGCAGAAGGGGAGAACCAGAAGACAGCGCACAGCCAACCAGGAGACAAGAGCTCCACTAAGGAAGAGAGAACGCAAAACCCAGGCAGCCCAGCAAAGAGCCAGGGCCTGGCCAAGTTCTCCACCTTGCACCTCACACCCGTGTCTTCAGGCCACCAATCCCAGCACTGCAACTCCAGCTCAAAGCAGCAGCCACATGCCTCAGACATCAGGGGAAGGTGGTCAAGGAGGATTCACCAACACTAAACCAGCAGAAAGAGAAGGGCTGGACAGGGCTGTCGCCATAAGGATGAGCAAAATGGATTAAGGAAAAAGGGAAGTGCATTTATACAAAACTATAGCAAAAAAAGAAAAAAGAAGCATAGTATCCAGAAGACAAGTGAAGAATCTACTCTGAAAGAAAAAAACCCCACCAAAATAAAAGCATTCCTGGGAATATTTCACCCTATAGAGGAGCCTAAAGATAAGAACTCAAAAAGCTTGAGGGTGAGATAACAGGAAATGGAGCTGGCAGAGCTAAGGAAATACAGAGAGAAGCTTTAGCTTCTCTAAATAGTTCCTAAAATGGTTGTTCTCTCCTCTGCACTCTCTACCCCATTACTTTGTATCATTAACTAACATCCCCTACTGTACTTTTTACTGTCTACCTTCCACTAGAACATAAGCTCTACTGGAGCAGTCATCTTGCTTACCTGTCTCCTAACTTATCCCCCTGTGTCCCCAGACAGCTCTGATTTAACAGTGGTCTCTTAAAAATAACTGCTGAATAAATAAGGAAAAGATGAATGTTTAAAGCAATGAGAAAATAGATGAGAACAGATAAAAATGATCCAACATAGACATAACTGGTACCTCAGAATTAAAGGTCAAAAAATAGAACATAAATAAATGCAAAGATTTAACAGAAAACAATTTTCCTGATTCCAAGCAAAACTTTAGTCTGCTTGTCAGAAAGGCACACGGGCCCCAGAAAACTTAATATGGAAAGATAAATACAGATACATCCGTGTTATATTTTTAAATGTCACAAACTAAAAAACGAAACCTTATGGGGAGAGATTACAAATCTTAAGTAAGCCTGGCTTCAGACTTCTCGAAAATATTTAATATAAGAAAACAATGGAATAGTGTCTTCCACAAAGAAATAAACTGTGACCCAAGAATATTAATCCAGCCAAGTCACCATTCAGGAACAGTCCATAGGCTCATATGTTTAAACATGAGTCAGAAGAAAATAATGCGTACATGTTCTTTTACAAAATATCACCCAACAGTGAAATGTAGCCAACCAATAGGTAAAAGGAGAAGCTGCAGTAAGCCTTGCGATAGGCAATGAATTGACTTTAAAAAAAAAAAAAAAAAAAAAAAAACAGATCAAAGACTGAATATGTTTTCAAAAGATAACTATTATGAACTTGACAACACAAAAATAATATTGGAACAAACAAGAAAGAAAGAAACTCATAGGAAGGAATATGAGTGTTTATTTTCTTCCCTTTCTAAACAAAGTCTATTAAGTCATTAAACAGGCTTAAGTACATTAACAAATGTTACAAAGAAAACCACTAGAAGGACTAAAATAAGACTATAAGAAGCAAAAATCTAGAAGTAGGAGCAGGGAGAAGTTAAAGAAAGCATATGAGTGTAAACTTCCGCATTTTCCAGAGCAGGAAATCCATAAATATTGAAATGAATTTCCAAATTCAACAAAGAGGGTATGATATAAACATATAAAGTATGTACTAGAGGTAACTACTAGAACTGAAAGACAATAAGCTTCCAAATCCAAAAAAGGGAAGTATGAATGTATGAGCACACACAAGAAAAAAAGAACCTATATCACAAAATAGGACTAAGAAAATACTACAAATTAGGAGGAAAAACATAATTAAGGCCAAAATACATCTGATATCAATAAGTATTGTGTGATATCAGATATAAAATAAGAAAAAATAATGTAAGCTACAAGAAAGAATAATACTCACAAATTGGTCAAGTGAAAAACTATTTTCCAAAGACGGCAGCAACAATGTCTCCTATTCTACAGTCTTCTAGTACCTTCTTACTCCTTAGCAAGAGTAGAGCCTAATTCCCATTTCCTTGAATGTGGGTAGGCAGCAGAAGTGATGCCATGACATCTTAGGCTAGATTGTAAAAGCTTGTGAGCTGTGACACCCCCCAAGTGGAGTCCTGGGCCTACATGCAAGCAGTCCCACCAACATGAGGCCACCACGCCATGAGGAAGCCCAAATTGAGGCATATGGAAAAACATGTGGAGAGGTCATGGAACCTCATGAAGAAAGGATGCCTCACAACCCCCAATCATTCCAACTACTGTCTGACTACAGCTACTCAGACAGTAGTTGCAAGACTACTGAAAAGACCACTAATATCCTAGAAAACTGGTGGGAAGGAGTCTTTCATAGAATCTCTTCTCCAGTACTACAGACAAAGGTAGAGTTGGGAAGCAAAACTTAGGAACTACATGATGAAGCTGCCTATTCAAGATAGGTCCCTAAAGATAAGGACTAGGCTGTTGCCTCCTATGATTACCATCAGACATCTTAATGGATTATTTGAAAGTTCTACATTGATACTCACCAACCACTTTATTCTGAAGGAGAAGAGGGCACTAAAGGCAAATATCACCCAGAGCACTGGACAGGCAATAAGTCCCAACCAAAAGATTCTTGATTCAGCCTCTGACACGGTTTTATTCTCTTGAGAGGACTCCTATAAAAGAACACAAGTTCAATTATCATGTTGTGAGATTTATCAATAAAAGGTTCACCATGTTTAATAAAAGACATATTACCCAAAAGTTCAAATATTAATACAGACAGCCCAAGTCCTAAGTTAGAACCCAAAAAAAAAATCACTCTATCACTCTTGTAACTTTAGGAACTGATTTATATTAACCCATGAATTTTGCATTTTCAGGGCAGCATAGACAGTTTACCACAACTCATGACAGTAAATAGTGGTCTCTGATAGGCTTCTATTCAATTCTTCTTGCACTTGTACTATTTATTTATAAGAAAGCTCTAAATGATACCTTTCTGACTAAAGATCAAGGAAATCACGGTTACAATCATTCTAGAAACTAAAAGGTCAAATTAGGGTCCAGAGGGAAAAAAAATGGAATCAAGCGATACGGAACAATTATCAGAATGTCTTAACAATACCCAGGAATTTACAAGGTGGTAAGTTGTTTCCAAGATAGATTCTATAATATAAAAGAATATAGACTCATTGAACACAGTACCACTTTCTTAGAATTACTTGTCAATGCCCTTGGTGTACAATCACCAGGAATTCTGTCCTCTGCTTCCAAAACGTATTTCCAAGAGGAAAGTGAATATTCCCTATAGTGTAGCAGGCTAACCCAAAGCAGACACGGGACCCCCAGGGCTCCTGAAGTCAGCAGCTTAAAGAAGAGAGTGCTCCAACCAGATTTACTATCCAACTGCACTCCTCCTCCTCCTCCTTTTTCTGCCCAGAAATAAAAGACAGCCATAGGAGCAAAGACAGAATAAGATGTTGAAAGCAGTTACCTGCTGAGCATAGTGGGACACATGGAGATACCCACCAAGACAACAAAGAGATCTTTTATCAGCAATTCCTGACAGACAGCTTAGCACACTGTATAAACTCTGACCCAGTATCTTCCCTCAAGATTCTATTCTGTATATTGCTTGTTTCTGGTCTGAACTAGACAGAAGAATGCATTAAATTCTACAAGGCCATCTCATTTAGTACTGGCATGCTAAGTGATTTGGTACAGTGTTTTTAATTCTGAATAATTTATCCTCCAATATTGAAATATAATCTACAAATAATTTAGCTGATAACACTATTTACAACAAAAAAGGCAGTTTACCTTTCTAGATTCAAACACCCAATGGCTCTTTCCATCTTCATCAATGTGATTCCACCAACGCAGGCCAACCATCAGTCTACCTGTGACATTCTGGTGAAGATTAATATAAACAGGTATATTTTAAAAGCATTATTTAAAGATCTATCATAAGCTCATATCTTAGTCTAACATTTCGCAAATAAAAATCTTCAGCTTTCCTCCATAATATCCAGTTAGCAAAGACTACTATGTATCAGGCCTGGCTAAACGATTATGTAAAATGGTAATGGCAGGACTAGCAGGGGGGTAGAGATAACAAAGCAAGCAACAAGTCCACCCATAAACATTACCCCTTCTCAATGGCCGGGTGCAGTGGCTCATGCCTGTAATCCCAGCAGTTTGGAAGGCTGTGGCAGGTGGATCACAAGGTTAGGAGTTTAAGACCAGGCTGGCCAAGATGGTGAAACATCATTCTCTAGTAAAATACAAAAATTAGCCAGGCATGGTGGCAGGTGCCTGTAACCCCAGCTACTCGGGAGGCTGAGGCAGAGAATCACTGGAACCCAGGAGGCGGAAGTTGCAGTGAGCCGAGATGGCACCACTGCACTCCAGCTTGGATGAAGAATCAAGACTTTGTCTCAAAACCAACCAACCAACAAACAAACATACATTACCCCTTCTCTTTTCCCTCATGAACAATTTGCCCTTTCTCCAGTTCCCTAATTTTACCTAAACCCCTTGCTATTTGATTACTGTGACCTACCCTATATCCTGACTATAGCTACATATATTTTGCAACTACATATCCCTAAAAATGGTTATAGACACTGGCCTTCAGTCTCTCAAGTGTACCAAGCTCTTTTCCTACTTACTAAGGTAACAAATTACTTTGATAGCTTTCCTAATGTTTACTCAACAAATATTAACTGAGCATCTACTATGTGCTGGTAATAAAACAGTGACTAACAGATACCATCTCTTTCATCAGGGAAAGAGACGAAGAGAGGCAGGCAATGCACAAATGCACCACTACCAAATGAAGTGCTGCAAGGGAAAAGTGTGGGATGCTTGAAGAGCATAACTGAAATTTAATCTAGTCTGGGTATCAGAAAATGACTCCATGAAGAGTCAACATTTGGAATGAAATTTAAAGGATAAACAGGAATCAACAGTACTGGGTATGTTTAATTAATGATGTTCACTAATAGATTCAGTGGTTCTGCGAACTTTGATGGGGAAAAAAATGTTATCTTCGCTTTCATTAACGTCTGGCTGAAATTTAGCATAGCTTTAAATTACGAATGTAGACAACAAACTATGAATGTAGGCAAAATTAAAAATACCCTGATGCAATTTTTTCATTTTGTACTATACTTGCTGCAGTTATCTCGAAATATTGCTTATGCTCACCACTTATTTGAAAGTAGTTATTAAACCTGCCACTAGATCTTATCATTAATACATTCACAAAGCATAGTAGTCTTCCCTGATCTGCAGGGGATACATTCCAAGACCCCCAGCGGACACCTAAAATTGTGCATAATACCAAACCTTATATATGCTGTATTTTTTCCTATACATACATACCTATGATAAAGTTTAATTTACAAATAAGGCACAGTAAGAGGTTAATAAGAACTAAAAATAGAACAACTGTAACAACATACTCTAATAAAAGTTACATGAATGTAGTTCTCTCAGGATATGTTAGCGTATTTAGTACAGTGTACTGCAGTAACAGAAAGTGAACCTCAGATAATGGGGGGACTACTACACACGTAACTCAATCAGAAATGTACCTCTTTAATAATTTTAAGTTATATTCCAATATAAGTACTTCCTTTGTAATCTTATATATTTTATGTATGTGAAAACATTATTCATGAGACTATGAAAGGGGCCCATAGCATAAAAAGATTAGGAATACTTGTATTAATGTGATGTGGGAGCAAGAAGAGCTTTCCAGATAGAGCAGTAGGCAATGAAGCCCTAATGAAGAAAGTGCAATCTATGGATTTATGGGATTTGGTCATTAATTGGATATGGAGTAGGAAGGAGGCAACTGATCCATTTCTAGTTCACTCAAGTAAAAAAATAGTGACTCCAGGCCCTGTGAAAGGAAACACTTAAAGAAGAGCTTCTGGGGAGTGGAAGATGACAAGTAGTATTTTACATGTTAAGATATGAAATGCCTGGCCAGGTGCAGTGGCTCACTTGGATTTGAGACCAGCCTGGCCAACATAGTGAAACCCGTCTCTACTAAAAATACAAAAATTAGTTGGGCATGGTAGCGCGTGCCTGTAGTCTCAGCTACTTGGGAGACTGAGTCAGGAGAATCGCTTGAACCCAGGAGGCGGAGGTTGCTGTGAACCAAGATCACGCCACTGCATTCCAGCATGGGCAACAGAGCAAGACTCTGCCTCAAAAAAAAAAAAAAAGATTTGAGATGCCCTCAAGACAGCCACATAAAAGTATCAAGAAGACACATGAAGAGGCCTTGAGTTGTGAGGACAAATCTGGATGGAGATACAGGTCTGGGAGGCAACACAGTTTACAGATCAGCAATCAAAACAAGCAGCACAGATGGCACCCCTTAGGAAAGGAATACAGGAGAAGAAAGGGAGGAGTCTTATGAGACCAAAATTCCTGTAAGAGAGATTCTAATTAATGGCTAAGTAAAAAATTTAAAAAAGAGCTGGCAAAGGACCTAAACCAGAGGTCTCTTCTATAGGTATTTTCAAAGAATGCTCTCAGAATACTTTCAAACTCTTCTATGTTTCCATTTCCCAACTCTTTATTTCCTGTTTTTATCTTTATTAGTTTGTTTTCCTAATTTCTCAGGCTTATTGCTTGTTTTTGAAACTTCTGGACTCAAGTAGTCCATTATTTTCACTCTTTGTCTAAGATAAAAGCCTTTAGTCTATGATTTTACCCTGAATTCAGTTTTTGACATATTCAGAAAGCTTGACCGTAAATGATCACCACCACTAAGGTATGAATAACCTATATTTGCAGTTTTTGCTTCCTTTTAAACCCAAGATACATAGCAGTTAGCTTTTTAAAAAGCATTTCAATTTTGACAACCACTTTCTATTAATTTCTAGTTTTGTTTCATTGGACTAGAAAATGTAGATGCTTTGAGCAATTTTATTTGGATTTTCTTCACACTAGTCAATTTTAACAAGAAAGTATTCTCTCTGTACATACACAGTCCCAAATACTGCTATTAAATCGATGTTGCTAATTATTGCAATCAGATTCTTCAGACCTTATTTATTTTTTGGCAATTTGGTTTGTTAAAGACAGTAGTTTGTTAGATTTTTCATAATGCTTTTCTATCTTCTAATATTCCTAACTTTTTTTATTACGCATAGTTTGATATAGTTTTATTCTGTCAGTGATCTTCACTGTGATTCACAAAATGATCTTTTTTTGTTCCGCTTAGTGCTTTCTTATTCTGATTCCTATCTCATCTGATAATAATATATTGCCAGGTTTCTTTTTGTTTGAATTGATCTGATGTTATCTTTGCCATATTTTATTTTTTCTAATGTCATTAATTTGGTTAGATCTTTTGTTTGGACTTTGATTTCTGGCCCAATCTTAGTATCCTTGTCTTTAAAAGGGTAGTTTAATCAAATTATATTTACTATTATTTGCTATTACTTACATCACCTTATACATGTGCTTTCTGATATTTACACTTCCTTGACACTTGCTTTGTTCTCCTCTTTTGCTATATGAACTGTTTTACTTGCTCTATCTTTTCCATTGTTGCAGAAGATACATGACTTGTTTTAAATTTTACTAATAGTTGTCATTAAGTTTTTAAAACCATTACTTAACCTTTTTTTACTCAATTTGTCAGAGTGAAGAATAAAATAAAAACCAATATAAGCTTTGGCATTTAAACATACCTTTAAATAATTTTCCCTTCTCTACCTCTTCTTTATCTTCATTAACACCACCTAGGGTAAGCCTATCCAACCTGCCATCCACAGACCTCATGCTGCCCAGGACAACTTTGAATGCAGTCCAACAGAAACTCATAAACTTTCTTAAAACATTATGAGATTTTTTTTGTGATTTTGAGTTTTTTGTTGTTGTTGTTGTTTTAGCTCATCAACTAATGTTAGTGTATTTTATGTGTGGCCCAAGACAATTCTTTCTTCCATTGCGGTCTAGGGAAGCCAAAATATTGGACACCTAGGGGTTTAGATGAAGACTGCTTGTTTGTTTTTTCAGTAAGTACACTGAGATTTATGACAATTATGGCACATTTCTATTTTAACTGTATTAGAACCCTTCTTATCCCCTTTCCCAAGTCCACTTAATAATTTCCTTATTCTTGACTTCTTAATTTTGCTTCCTATCTCCATTGTTTGGCTATCTATAAGTAAATTGTGCCAATGATAAAAGAATGCCATTTTTTAAGCCCTTGTTTAAATAAATAAATAAATACCTTATAAAAAAATAAACTATTTTGATCACATTTTTTCAAACTCTAAACCCAGAAAAATTTTAAGAGTTTGGAAATTACCAGGAAGAACTGACTAGAAAGCATGTTCTATTTAGCTGAACAGAAACTGTATGAACAACAAAAAGAAACATCTATCAAAACAAAACTGTGACGAGTATGTACTAAATACTTTAGAGCATAAAGTAACAAAAGAAATTCAAAGAAATGTAAGCCAAAGAAGAGTGGACAAAAGAAAAACATAAAGAAAACAGACCTCTGAAATCTTCCTTCTAAGCATTTTGTGGCCTGTGGAAACTGACCATTACCACGCCAACCACTTCTGATATCTCTAAGAATTAAAAAATCTAAAAATGGCTACCTTGGTGGGTGTGAAAAGACTTGTAACATCTTACCGGTCTTTGAATCAGTATACGCCTCCAAAACACCAAAATCAGTCTTTATGATTTCTTCCCCACTATTTTACCATGAAAATTTTCAAACATAAATTTTACAGTGAATACCCAAATATATATCACCTAGAGTCCATATTTAGTATTTTATTATGCTTACTTGATTCCCTATTTATCTATGTACCTATCTATCCAACCATCCATCTCTCTAATCATTGTTCTTGAATTTCAAACTATTTCTTACACTCCCTTCTATCCCCTACAGCAGGTGTCTCAACCTTGGTACAACTGACATTTTGGGTCAGATAATTCTTTGTTGCAGGGGGTGCTGTCCTGTGTCTTAGGATATTTAGCAGCATTCTGGCCTCTATCCACTAGATGTCAATAGCACACTCCCCACCTCCAGTCATGACAACCAAAAATGTCTTCAGACATTGACAAATATTCAATGGGTGGCAAACTTGTTTCTGGTTAAGAAACACTGCCCTAAAGCATTCATAGGAGCCTTTGCAAAAGGTAGGTATTTTTCAGGCATTTGTAGACAAACTATCCTGGAGCCTCATCTAGAAATCCTATACAGCAAGCCTACAGGTAAGCCTGAAGCAAACCATGGTATAGATTAGAAGCAACATTGTAGGGTCTGTGGTTGCTAGTCACATTTGTTTATGAGACTTTAAAGCTGATGTAGGTTAGAAGATGGCACAGAAAAATCAGCAGCACGGTAACCTCTGTGTCTCATCTTGTGTTGTCAAAGGGAAAAAATGAAAAAAAAAAAAAATCTACATGTGATTTGATATATCTAGCACTTCAACAAAGATGAGGTTTGAAGTAACAAAAGATTAACACTAATGCAAAATACTTTTTTACTATTTATACATCATTTTCATATTAAATATAATTTTAAAATAAAAACAATCAAAATTACCTTCACTGCCCAAAAGTCACATGACAGCAACAAGATAATTGTCACCATACAGGCAATAAAGCTGCTGCTGAGAAACTCACAGAGAAGATAGACGACGACTGCACTGACTCGAAAGAATAAGTGGAAAAAGGATGCTACTGGATGTCTGTAAGCCAAAACACAAAGAAACGCAATTACATTTTACTACAGGTACCAGCAAATGTAGGGAAAAATGTTTCAGCCATGGTGTAACTGTGAAGGGCTTTGTCAAAATAAAAGGAGCAAGCAAACCTCCTACCTCTCTTTTTCTTAAGTCCCACTATTTGACTAGGCCCTAGCGTCACAGAAAATACACAAGGCACACATGACTTTAACACCTCATTGAATATAAACTTTCACAAAATATATAAAAAAGACTTTACCTCACTTGGAGAAATAAGGAAACTGTATCTTAGAATTTGAATCCTATTTTTAAATCATGCCAATCAGTAGCCCTCAGAAATCACTTCAGACATTAAGACAAAGTTTTCATCAGGTACAGTTTGTTTCTTGTTTTTTAATAACTTTTTGGAGATATAATTCACATATCATACAATTTACTTATTTAAGGTGGACAATCTAATGGTTTGTAGTACATTCACAGAGTTGTAAAACCATGAGTCCAATCAATTTTACAACTTCATTACCCTAGAAAGAGTATTTGTATACACTGGCAGTCATTTCCCATTTACCTTCAAATCCCTCAGCTTCTAGCAACAGCTAATCTCTTTTCTGTCTCTACAGATTTGCCTTTCTGGACATTTGAACATAAATGAAATCATACAATACATGGTTGGTTGTGACTGGCATGAAAGATGAAAGAAAAGTGACAGCATCTTAGCAAAGTTCAGGTATAACAGTTGGCTTTCAATAAGTGAATTTATTTACAGAGAATTAAATTTAGAATAGAAATGTTATATAATTTTGAAATGTGCACGACAAATCAAAATGTAATGTATCTATAGAAACTATATAAAGAAATGGTACATTCTTGGAAAACAGCACAGAATTAAAAACACAGGTGTTCAGATATTTGGATTTGTTAATTTTAAAACTCATTAAGTTTTAAAATATTAAATAACTAATATTTTACTAAAAATAATGTTACTAAAAAATATTAAGTAACATTCCATATGCCAATTATTCCCAAGAAAATCTGAAATGTCATCTTTGTCTTACACTAAATGTCAAACTAGCAACGTGCAGTATCCAAAAGCATATCAAAACAACTCTGCCTTGACTCCCATCAGTTAGCACCGACATACATACAGAACAGCACTGGACACTAACACAGCTCATACAACTTCTCCTCCTACCTGATCTTGGATTTTCTTGGTCTATTAGTTGTCTCCTCTTCCGCATCAAACAGTGAAACATCTTCAGTGTCATCATTACTATCCTAGTAGGAAAAGTAAATGTTCAAGAAGCAAAAGGAAATTCAATGTTTACATGGCTACTGCATGCAAAGCTGCATACTCATCAAAACAGAAGAAAAAATAATGACATGGTCACAGCATCAGAAATTCAAAATTTAGAAAAGGACACGTACAGATCCTCAAAAACCCCAGGGAATAATCCAGGTCTCTGCTGATCCATCCCTGCCCATGGGCTGTACGCTCTGAGAAAATTGTGGGGTACAGGTGATGCTCCTACAAACTTACTCCTATCCTCACATGTTCTCTCCCAAGTCACAGAGCAAGTCAAGGCTACTGGGGATAATCTCAACGTTCTGGCTCCTTCACAAAATCATCTGACTGCACGCTTAGTTCCATGACCCCTTCTCACAACTCCTTCTCTTCTTACCCAAGCTAAACCAATTATTTGTGCTCAGAATCCCTTCTTTTCATGCCTCCTCACTTGGGGACTTATTTCATCACTTTTCCCTTTATTTACACTTTCTTATCTTCAAGGCTATCTATGGGATCTTTCTTTGTTGTTGTTGAGACAGAGTTTCACTTTGGGAGGCTAAAGCAGGTGGATCATCTGAGGTCAGAAGTTTAAGAAGAGCAAGGCTCTGTCTCAAAAAAAAAAAAAAAAAAAGACCTTGCCCTTTAGGTTCTCCAGCAGCTTAATCGATATGGAGGTAACAGGTGTGAGCCGCCAGGTGCCAACTGTTCCCACTTGATATATTTGTGACGGTGAACCTCAGTTGAGCCCTTAGTGCTGCCGGGCAGTCATTCTACATCTCCATAGCCCCTTCACCCTCTCACCTTAGGCAACTATTAAAACTCAAATTTTCAACATTTCTTCTCTTACACTCTCTCAGCTGGTAACATTTCTTGTTTCACTAAGAAAAGAACCCATCAGAAGCGAATTTTCACACTGCCTGCCTATTTAATTATGTGTTTACTCATAGTCTGCCATATATTCTTTAGATAATTGGACTGTCAGTGCTTCATTCTCAGGTCTTCCTGTCTACTTGTGTCCTGGTTTCCAACTCCTCTTGCCTACCGCCAGGTATTGTTCCAGTAATTCTTGCAACATCAATTTTTTAATCCTTTTAAAAACATTTGTTCATGTCAACATATAAACATGTTTTAATTTCACCTACCTTAAAAAATAAAAACTTGATACCACAAGCCCTTTTGCTTGTCACCCCATTTTTTTCCTTTAAATACTTGTATTATATAGACTTGTCTCTTAATTCATCTAGTCTCTCTTGTATTCACTTTAGTCAGCCTTTCCTCCCCTCTCCCAACCATACTGGAACTGCTCTTACTGAGGTCCCTGATGACCTGTTAAAAATAGTGGTCACTTTTTGGTTTTCATCTTACTTGTGAGCAGCATTTGACACAGATGTTGGATCTTCCTCCTGGTGGCACTTCATTTGGTTTCCAGGACACGACCAACTCCTGGCTCACCTTTCATTTCTTGGCACTTCTTTTGCAGTCCCCACTGTCTATTCCTTCTACCTCTCTGACCTCTAATTATTAGAATGCCAAGAGTCTGTCTTAGCCATCTTCATCTTTCTAGTTGTTCAGGACAAAAACTTTGGAATCTTCCTTTATTCCTTTTATTTACCCTCTATCTCCCCAATCAACCCATCAGCAAATCCTGGCAGCTCTACCTTAAAATGTATTTGGAATCTATTTTTCATCACCTCCACTGCATCCACCCTAGACTAAGCCATTACTTCTTGGCCTCCTGATTGAAGCAGTTTCCTAATCAGCCTCCTAGCTTCATGCCTTTATTCCTCCTTTCTTGCCCCTCCAGATTTTTACTACAGTAGCTAGAATTTTCTTTTTAACAGGTGAGTCAGAACATGCAGTCTAACAAACACAACACTCCAACGGGTCTCCCTCTCAGTGCTTTTTGGTTTTAAAAATACTAGCATCTTGGCCAGGCGCGGTGGCTCACGCCTGTAATCCCAGCACTTTGGGAGGCCGAGGCGGGTGGATCACGAGGTCAAGAGATCGAGACCATCCTGGTCAACATGGTGAAACCCCGTCTCTACTAAAAATACAAAAAATTAGCTGGGCATGGTGGTGCATGCCTGTAATCCCAGCTACTCAGGAGGCTGAGGCAGGAGAATTGCCTGAACCCAGGAGGCGGAGGTTGCGGTGAGCCGAGATCGCGCCATTGCACTCTAGCCTGGGTAACAAGAGTGAAACTCTGTCTCAAAAAAAAAAAAAAAAAAAATACTAGCATCTTAAAATGTCCAAAATCAAACTGCTGATTTTGCCCTGAAATCTTGTGTGTCCATAGTCTTCCCCAACTTAGTAAATTTAACTCCAGGAGTGCAGAGCTATTTGTCTTTTTTTTTTTTTTTTAAATCTATACCGCTTATAGCAGTACCAGGCACTTGGTAGGCACTCAGTATTTACTGAATAAATGAGAAGAAATCAGTCTTTCAAAGAGCAAGATAAAAGAAGCATGTTCTAGGTAGTATGAACCATAAGTGCAAAAGAACTGGATGGGGCCCAAGTTTGGCATGTTTAAGGAACTGAAAAGAAGGCCAGCCTGGCCATGGTGGCTCATCACAGCAGTTTGGGAGGCCAAAGCAGAACTGCTTGAGCCCAGAAGTTTGAGGCTAGTCTGGGCAACATAGTGAGATCCCATTTCTACAAGAAATTAAAATATTAGTCAGGTATGGTGGCTTGTAGTACTCAGGAGGCCGAGATGGGGAGATGGCTCAGACACGAGAGGTAGAGCCTGCAGTTGTGGCCCCTGATTGCTCCACTGCACTCCAGCCTGGGTGAGAGCCAGACCCCGTCTCAAAAAAAAAAAAGGCCAGTCTGGCAGAAGCTGATGTACTATATAAGTTTCCTATTGCTGCTGCAGCAGCAGCAAATTCCTATATACTGTTATAAAGTTCTGGTGGTCAGATGTCCAATGAGGCTCAAGGGGTTAAACATCATGATGTAGGTAGGGGTTCTGGAGAATCGGTTTCCTTCCCTGTTTCTGCTTCTAAACGCCCTTAATATCGTCAGCATAGCATATTCAAACCTGTCTCTGATCTCTACTTTGCTTGTTTCATCACCTTCTCTAACCAACCTTCCTTTGTTTCTCTTGTAAGGACCACTGTTGATCACATCATCTGGCCAGCCTGGATAATCAGGATAATCTCTGGACCTCGAGATCCTTAATCGCAATTAATCACATTTGTGAAATTATTTTTGCCAGGTAAATCTACATATTCACAGGTTCCAGGGATTAGAACCTAGACATTTTTGGCAGGGGTAAGGAGGTATTATTCAGCCTACCACAGTTAATGAAAGGTGAGTGGCCTAAGATAAGGTCTTAGAGACTGACAGGGACCAGATCATGATAGTTCATGATAGGTAGTCTGTTTTTTAGTCATAGTGCTGACGGGTTTCAGTAGGGGAATAATATGATCTGATGTGAAAATGTCTCCCTAACCACTGGATGGCGATTAGACTGTTGGGATCGACAGCAGAAGGCCTCAGCTTTTTATTCATAACATCATACAGTGGATCTCAATCTTGGACATTATAATCACACCTCAGAGCACTTATATCTGAACCCCAAGTATCAGGGGGCAGGACCCAAGTATCAGCTTTTTTTTCTTTTTGAAAGAAAAAGAGCATTCTAATTATAGCCAAAGTTGAGAACCACTAGTCTCATAGATCTGAATCCATTTTACCTTTTCAGCCTTAGCTCAATAGGAGCTTCTCCCATCGGTCAGTTACTGCATGGGCTACTTGGCCATTTCTTAGACCAACTTCCTGTATTCCCACCAGTGCCTTTGAAAATATACCTAATCCAGGGACTAGAGTGAGCAGAGGCCTACATGGACTGGCAGGGCACAGTTGATAAACTCTCCTCCAAAAAGTTTCTCTGGTACCCTGTAGTAGGAATGAATTGCTTCTTTCCTGGCTCCCATTTGCACTTAGATTTCTCAGCCCCGTTCACAGTCAGCTGTGTATTATAGCCTCCTTTGCTTATTTACTCATGCCTTCAACAAATATACCACTTGATTGAATGCTCTGCTAGACACTAGGATTTATTACAATGTAAAGTCAGTCCTGGTCAGGGGTGGTGGCTCACACCTGTAATCCCAGAACTTCAGGAGGGTGAGGCAAGCAGGTCACTTGAGGTCAGGAGTTTGAAACTAGCCTGGCCAACATGGGGAAACCCTGTCTCTTCTAAAAATACAAAAATTAGCCAGGCTAATTAGCCATGGTGGCACACTCCTGTAATCCCAGCTACTCAGAAGGCAGAGAGGCACTAGAATCACTCGAACCCAGGAGTTGGAGGTTGCAATGAGCCAAGATCATACCACTGCATTCCAGCCTGCGCAACGAGTGAAACGCCGTCTCAAAATAAATAAATAGCCGGGCGCGGTGGCTCAAGCCTGTAATCCCAGCACTTTGGGAGGCCGAGGCGGGTGGATCACGAGGTCAAGAGATCGAGACCATCCTGGTCAACATGGTGAAACCCCGTCTCTACTAAAAATACAAAAAATTAGCTGGGCATGGTGGCGCGTGCCTGTAATCCCAGCTACTGAGGAGGTTGAGGCAGGAGAATTGCCTGAACCCAGGAGGCGGAGGTTGCGGTGAGCCGAGATCGCGCCATTGCACTCCAGCCTCCTGGGTTCAGGCAATTCTCCTGCCTCAACCTCCTCAGTAGCTGGGATTACAGGCACGCGCCACCATGCCCAGCTACTGAGGAGGTTGAGGCAGGAGAATTGCCTGAACCCAGGAGGCGGAGGTTGCGGTGAGCCGAGATCGCGCCATTGCACTCCAGCCTGGGTAACAAGAGCGAGACTCCGTCTCAAAAAATAAATAAATAAATAAATAAATAAATAAGCCAAGATCATACCAATGCACTCCAGCCTGGGCAACGAGAGTGAAACTCCATCTCAAAAATAAATAAATAAGCAAACAAATAAAAAGCGGGAACAGTGAGCATGGCCATGTTTCTCCAGCCTCATCTGGACTGGGTGCAAGTTCAGATGTCAGAAGCACATGAACCAGAACAACCCCATCTTGAACAGGAGCTGGGTGAAATGAGGCTGAAACATACTAGGCCTTACCAGAGAGTTAAGGCATTCTAAGTCAAGGATGAGACAGGAGGTCGGCACAAGATACAGGTTATAAAGATATTGCTGAAAAAAACAGGTTGCAGTAAAGGAGCCAGCCAAAACCCACCAAAACTAAGATGGCCGTGACAATGACCGCTGGTCATCCTTACTACTATACTTCCCACTGCCCCATGCCAGTTTACAAATGCCATGGCAACGTCAGGAAGTTACCCTATATAGTCTAAAAACGGGAGGAATGAATAATCCACCCCTTGTTTACCATAGCACCAAGAAATAACCATAAAAATGGGCAACCAGCATTCCTTTACTTTCTTAATAAACTTGCTTTCACTTTGCGCTGCAGACACACCCTGAGTTCTTTCTTGCCTGATCCAAGAACCCTCTTTTGGGGTCTGGATCGCGACCACTTTCCTGTAACACAGGAGCTGAATTTAACTATCACTGGATTTTCTCCACTCAAGGCGTCTCCTCTTAAGTGGTCTTTTCTGACCACAAATCCTAGTTGTCCTATTCTCAGACACTTGCTATTTTATCACCCTTTCTTTGCAATTATCTGAAAATATCTTAAGTTACATAATTTATCGTGTCTCACTGCCCCACCCCAATCCCCTAGAACCCACTTCCCTAACCTGAAAATACAGGGCAAGAAACCTGTCTGTGCTGTTCACAGCCCTATCCCTGGGCCCGTGTCTGAGTCACAGTAATCCCTCAGTATATTATGCGACCTAAAAGAAAAAAACACTTAAGACAATCTAAGTGACAAAACAGTGATGTTTTCTAGAAGTAAGAGATTATCAATTTTACCAGTCTCTGGCTGCCAAAACGTGTACTACAATTAACATAAAGGAGAGAATCACCAACAAGGTTAGTTTGGTAACAGCAATTGGAAAGCGAAGCTCTGGCGGTGTGGTGGATTCCTACAAATTCGCAGTGCACCCCTGAAGGTCAGGGAGCTAACAGAGGCCTGCAGGCCGCCCGCTCCTCCTCACCTAAAGGCTGAGAAAAAAGAGACCCCGGCTCGCGCTGGTTAACAATGGGCGTCTTCACAGCCGAAAGCAGTACCTGTTCGGCGGCACACGGGTCACGCCTCCTCCAGAGGCCTCGGAGCGCCCAGCCGCCCTCCTCAGACAACTACCCACAGCCCTCCACTCCCGCCCGCCCAGCTCCTCCTAGAGTTCGAGTAGCGGGCAGGAGGGACACGAACTCCAGTCCCAGGAGCCACCACCCCCCCGGCGCCATCAGCCCCTCACCTGCTGCAACATGGCGGCCCTACGCCAGCCCTACTTCCGGGAGTCACGTCAGCGCAGCAGCGTACAGGTCCGGGTAGGAACTGAAGCGACCAGTCACCAAAGGCCAGGAGGAACCACCGTACCAGCCTCAGTCCGGCTTCACTTCCGCTTAGAAGCAGGTAGCCAGAGGAACAACTCCCGGAGCGGGGCGAGCGGGGGCGGAGCTGGTGCGTGTAGCGGAGCGAGAAGCACTGACTCGGCGGAGGCGGAGCCTGGTCCCAGCAGTAACGAAAACCAGCTGCGAAAGGCACCAGGACCACAGTGGGCTCCAAGTGGAAAGCTTCGTGGCCTGTTTCCAGGAAATGTTTGGTATCCACCCTGTGCAAACTCTAAAGTCGTTCCCGCCAGCGTCACTGAATGCAGGGGGCGGGGTTTTATTCTATAATTAAATTTTCTTTGAATGTTTTACAAAGTCGTACTCCTGCACATTATTACTTTTGTGCTTAAATTGTAGAAGCAACTTTTTAAAATATGCTATTGCGAAGAAATAAAACGTTATTAAGGAAAACAAGGCAGGAGGACTCTAGAGTAAGAAATGGACGGTATTATGGGAGTTATAACCTTAGACTCCGGGAAACTAAGGAATAGGAGTTGAGACCGTGCGCCCTGGGGCTTGGGCGCCTGGGTCCCCTATTGTCAATCATATTACCAGTCTTTATGTACTTCTTTCATCAATCGTAAAGCGGGGGTAATAATGGTATCCTTACAGTGTAAGTAGTAAATGGGAGACGTTATTAAGTCCAGCTGCTCATGCTGTGATTGAAGGTATTCAATTAAGGAAAATTTTACCTGGCTGTTTGCCAGTGCCATTTAAATCCTAATAATAATAGGAGAAAACACACAAACACATTTCTCAAAGGGGATAAAGTTCGGCAGCACAATTGCATTCGTGCCCATGGAAAAGCTGACTAATTTGGGGCCTGTACGTCCAGCCTGCCCATGGCAGGTTTTCAGTAGCCCACTCAGTGCTGTGGAGTTTTGTGCTGTTTCTTTGTTGTTTTTGGTTTTTGAAGGCATTTTGTTGAAATTCATTACCATCTTTTAAAATTTAGGACATTTCACAGAAAAATCTGAATGTGTGGCTTTTCTTGAAGAGGCAAAAGATGTGACTTTGTTGAGCAAAACTATCCGCTATGTACAAGGCTTGAACTTTCTTTTTTTTTTTTTTTTTCTTTTTTTAGTTAAGACGGAGATTTGTTCTTGTTGCCCAGGCTGGAGTGCAATGGCGCGATCTCGGCTCACTGCAACCTCCACCTGCCTCAGCTTCCAGAGTGCCTGGAATTTCCGGCACGTGCCACCACGATTGGCTGTTTTTTGTAGTCTTAGAAGAGACGGGGTTTCACCAGGTAGGTCAGGCTAGTCTCGAGCTTCCGACCGCACGTTACCCACCCGCCTCGGCCTCCCAAAGTGCTGGGATAACAAGTGTGAGCCACCGTGCCCGGCAATAAGCTCTTTCTTAAAGAGAAAATATTTCCATCTTTAGCTACAAAATCCCAAAATGTACCTCAAGAATTTAGTTTTAAAAACCTCTCAAAGATCATTTAGAAGTTTTTAAAAATAAATTGTTACCACAATAGAAAAAGTAGAAAAAATTGCACAGGCCCCTGAAAATACGATTATATACATTTTCTTTTTTGTTTTGTTTTGTTTTCTTGAGACAGTTTCACTCTTGTCGTTCAGGTTGTAGTGCAGTGGCGGGATCTCGACTCACTGCAACATCCACCTCCCAGGTTCAAGCAATTTTCCTGCCTCAACCTCCGAGTAGCTGGGATCACAGGTGCCCACCACCACGGCCGACTAATTTTTTCTATTTAGTAGAAATGGGTTTTTGTCATGTTAACCAAGCTGCTCTCTAACTGCTGACTTCAAGTGATCCGCTCGCCTTCGCCTCCCAAAGTGCTGGGATTACAAGCATGAGCCACCTTACCAAGCCTGCTTATATACATTTTCAATGAACATATATGAAAATGGTCTCAAGCCTTTTCAGAATTAGAAGATCAAAATAAATAAAAACGAAATAACACTATCCACTATCCAGAATACATAAAAGAAATACTGAAAAAAATCAGGAGTTGGAAAGGATATCTAATTAGAACTCTCTTAAACGTGTGATTCAGTTGTATATTAGTGAAAAAAATTTGAAATTAAAAAATTGATAAATTATATGTATTTGTGGTGTACCACATTATTTACACACACACACACAGAGAGAGAGACACACATTGCAGAATATCTAAATCTGTGTATATATATATAGCTACAGACATACACTGTAGAATGGATAAATCAAGCTACCTAGTGTATCAGCTACCTTAGCTACTTATCTTTTTTTGTGTGGTGAAAACGTTTAAAATCTGCTCTCTTAGAGATTTCAAGCATTACCACATTGTTATTAACTATAGTCAACATGTGCAATAGAGCTCTTGAGGTTTTTCCTCCTAGCTGAAATTTTTGGTGACATACATTGCACTGGAACATACGCAGTTACTATGACCAAGCTATTTTACTTGTAGGTCTGTACTTCACTAAAATATCTATACATGTGTACCAAAAGAAATTTACAAGAATGTTCATAGTGCCTTTATTGCTAATAGCCCCAAAGTGGAAACAAACCAGTGTCCATCAGCAGTAGAACTGAGAGATGTGCCGTATTCACGCAGAGCACCACCGAGCAGGGAGAAGAAATGAACTGCTTCATGAAAGCACATGAGGGAGCGTCACAAATGTGATGCTGGGCCAAAGAAGCCACACACACAACCATTCCTACTGAATGGCCCTCGATGAATCCATTTATGAAACAGGCAGCACTAATTGGGGCTGCTAAAAACCAGGTGATTATTTGCTTTGGCAAGACAGATGGGCGGTGGTTAGCGAGCAGACCTTCAGGAGAGGGACTTCCAAATTGTTACTTTTATTTCATTTTCTTGGACTGTGTGGTAGGTCCAAGCGTGTGCTCCTTTGAGATAAACCCCTGAGTAGCAGAATACTAGGATTCCTGTGTCTATTATACTTTAACGTATTTGAATTCATTTTGCCATTGGGACAAAAAATATAAATCATAATAAATCTTTGCAATTTGAGTATTTTTTCTAGTTGATGAAAAATAAGTTGCCCGAAGGATTCCAAACTTGGGTATTTCAATATAGAACTTACGCGTGCAAATATATATTTCTGGAGATCCAAAACAGTCTGATTAATGTCATTTGAGTATAAAAAAGCACAGTTATGTTTACAATTTGCTGACTCTCTAATCTTTTACTTCAAGTTAATTATCCACATTTATCAATGAAACTGCTTTCATAGAAGAACCCAATCCATAGCATAAATGGTAGGAACTTCAGAAAAGTCATTTTTTCTTCATTATTCATGTAAAAATATTAAATCTCTTAGAAACACAGGCCATCAAACTCTCAGTTTAGTGTTGCTTTCATTGCTTTCTATAGTCTTGTTACCATAGATTTTTAGTTCCAGAATTGCAAGAGGGAATAGTTGACTATCATGGTTACCACTGTGGCCATCAAGACAAGGCACACGATTCCTAGGATCCCAGCGGTGACCTCCCTGGAGGTGATGGGAATTAAGAGACTTGACGTGGAAACTGGGGGGGCTGAGTAAACAGTCTCTACAAAGTTTTCTCTGTGTCTGCTATTCAAAGTCCACAGGCAGTAAACAAGGGAAGATTACAAAACAGGCAGGGATTCCATGAGCGAGAGCTGGAACCTCACAAAAATAAAGTGAAACCCATGTTCATAAAGCTAAACACAGGCCAGCAACCCAGCAGTGCACACACACTTGCACACTTGCTACAAAATTCATTTTATTCCAGTGTGTGAGTGTGTGTGTGTGTGTGTGTGTGTGTGTGTGCACGCGCATGCGCGCACGCGCACGCACTCCTGTTGACCCAGTGTCTGCTCTATGTCAAGGTCCATGACACTAGACGACCCCAGGTGTACCCTTGATGACACCTGCAGGGGGCGGGCGCAGCCCCTGCTGCTGGGTATTGCGCTGTGTGACGCCAACCTCGGGGCCCTCGGAGTGATGGAACCCAATAGGCTTCCTTAGGCTTTCCTTTCGCATGGAAAGGAAATAGATGATGTTCTATTGTCATTTTGTTTCCTTCAGTGGATTCTGTGAACATCTTCCACTCCTCACTGACTCTGCAAGAAAGGGATTTCTGGTGGGGGAAGGGTAGCTGGTAAGAAATGAGACACGAAGAAATTAGCAAAGGGTCTTCTGGCCATCTGGGGACAGTCCTCATGTGGTCCCTGGCCCAGTCTCAAGAGTACTGGGCCGATCACCCTGTGGCCTCTGTGGTGTGTCTCCGGATCCAGCCTCTGCAGGAAGGACCCAGGGAGACTCAGCAGACTGGGGTGTCTGGCCTGACAAACGTTCCTGCTTCCTCTGGGTCTGTGGCTCAGGAATAGGCTCAGACATCATGTCCAGGCAGTGCCAGGCCACTTCACTGCCCCCTTTGAGGTGAACCCAGAGGGCTTTCAGAAGTGAGCATGAAGCTGAGTACCCAGATTCTGAAGCCAACTGCCCGTTTCTGTGTCCTGGAGGAGGGGCCCTGACCCAACAAGACCCCCAGGGCATGGCCCGTGGGTGCTGATGTGGGGAGGGGAGGGTCTGTGGACTGAGTGGGGTCATTGGTAGGGGATGCTGAGCACCGAGGCTCAGGGTTCTGCTCAGTGGGGGCCTGGTCAGTGTGGCCTGGTCAGTGGGGGCCTGGTCAGTGAAGGGCTGGTCAGTGAAGGGCTGGTCAGTGGGGGTCTTGCTGGCAGAGGCCTTGCCAGGTGGTCACTAGGTAACTTCAGGTAGGGGTTTGTCCTTGGAGCCTCCTTGCCGCCATCTGTAGTGGGAACGAGTCATGACACTCTGGAGGGCTACTGGGAGGAGGAGGTGAGCAGGTGTGTGGAATCCAGCCCTGACTCACAGACCTAGCACTTTACAGCCTAGCTGAGTCCCCTGCTAGGAAGGCACCTGCCCTTTGCCCTTTGCCCCCAATCCTCAACCTTCTGCCCCCACCCCCTTTCTGTATTTCCAGGAGTGCCTTGGATGGGGATGCTCTGATGATGACTATGGGTCCCAAGGTGGGAGACAGTGGCAAGGGTGACCCAGTGTCCTGGGTGCTCATGTGAGTGGGGCAGCCAGGCCCAGCCAGAGCAGTGACACACCCATGCCCACGTGTTCACCCACATAGCATGTTCATGCTGACACACACAAACACTGCACACAAGCATGTGGACACTTCAGGGGCTGGAGGGCGCTGACTCTGGGCCCTGCTGACCCAGGCAGGGGCCCATTGTGATGGGTGTC